ATATGTATGTATGTATGTACAGTGGTACCTCTAGTTACGAACGCCCCTACTTACAAATTTTTCGAGATATGACCAGCTCCGGCCCCAAAAATTTACCTTGACTTGCGAACTCGCCTCAACTTACAAACCGGATCCGTGGCCATTTTCTGCCGGTGCCACGTGGTCCGCGGCCATTTTCTGCCCGTTCCATGTGGTTCGCGGCTGTTTTTCCGCCCGTTCCATGTGGTCCCCGGCCATTTTTCTGCCCCTGACACATGGTCTGCGGCCATTTTTCCACCCTGCCGCATGGTCCGCGGCCGTTTTTCCGCCCCTGACGTGTGGTCTGCGGACGCCGGAACGGATTAACGGTAATTACATTGAACCTTATGGGAAAATTTACCTCGTGTTGCGACCAATTCAAGTTGCAACCAGAGTCACGGAATGGATTAAATTCGTAACTCAAGGTTCCACTGTATATGGCCAAAGGGACAGGCAATTATACCATGTATATGGGTGGGTGATAAGCTTTTTCAAGAAAGAGGCACTGAGTTTTTGAGTTTGACTGTTACTGTTATTTTATTTCCATTAAGTTTTGTTTTGCTTGTTCCTGTTTGAAAGTATGCTTCCAATGTCTGTTCACCCAGTTTGAATTGCATGATCTCACAGGGCTCTGGAGGCTGCAAAAAAGGGGTTTGGGGACTGCCTGTAGACTGTAGCCCATGGACTGTAGGCTGTCCAGGAGTTTTATAGACCAAAACAATTTGCTTTCCCTATTACTTGGGTGAAACTAGGTTCAGCGCAAGATGCCTGTAGGACACATATGAGAGAGGTTACCTCTTCATTTTCCGAATATTTCTTACACAATTTAGATGGTATGCTCTCTCATAACCAAATCAGAAATAATACATGTAATTATTTACTTATTTATTCAGTCTTTCCATTCCATTTCTGTACTGCAGGGGCATATATATGGGGAGTTAAAAAAAAAAAAAAACCCAAGATGGAACAATACATGATGAAGCCCACCTCTTTTTTACATGTGTATGCACCTATGTCTAAGCAGCATTCTGAACCAATAGGTTTCTGAATTACAAGGTAGTTGTGGAAAGAGCACACTGTGATTGTCTAGTTGTGAGATTATCCAATGATGCACCTTTATTCTAAGGTTATTTTCATCAAAGAATGGGTGGAGTTTTCATATTAATTACAGATAGCAAAGGTATTTCTGAACATAGCTTGACACACCAGGTGAAAAGGATGATGTTGGGTCTAGGTAAGCTATTTCCTCTAAGACCATTTGAAGCTGATTAGCCAACACCTTATTACCTTTCCTAAAGACAGGAAGTTGGACTGGCTTATAATGATCTAGCATCAAGAGGTACAGGGTAAGCTTCTTAAGAAGAAGCCTAACTATTGCCTCTTTAACACACTGGCATCCTGTCCTCCCTCACTGAGCTATTAATGATGACGATTAGACCAGTTCCAATAGCCACCTTCCACAATAAAACCATCCATTTTTTGGCAAGGCTCCCAAGAAGAAGTGGTGACCATACTGCCCCAAGCAGCTTGTCCACATCCTCGGGAGTTACAAATAACAACTGATCAAAATCATGGCTGGCTAGGGATGATCCAGAAGGGGAAACAGGATGTGAAGTATCTGCATCAGTTTTTCTTCAGTCAATGCTATTGCTTCTCATTGCCATCTGCTCTGCAGTTTATGGTGGTCCCATCTTCCTCTGTTTCCAAATTCCTAAATCTTAGAACAGGCCATACTTAACCAAAGACTAATGCCTGAATCTAAACACAAATCATTCTTAATAACTCTCAGAAAAATGACCATAATGTCTCAGTGATTGCTGTGGGTTGGTTTTTACGGTAGCATCAATATGGGAACATGATGATGAATAAT